GATCATGGTAAAGGTATATTAGAGTATGAAGGACAGAGTGAGTGTCAAGTAAAAGTTAGGGTAAGGAGGAGGGTAAGAAGCAGGATCAAGATCAGATTCTGAAATACTGTCTTTATAAGGGTCAATATGAGGGTCACAGTCAGGGTCATAGTCAATGTGAGGGACTCCTATATAAGTGTGGATGAGCAAGCAAATTGGTTATCAGGGTAAGTCCTGGGGTCCAGTCAGGATATCAGTGTCAGAGACATGGTCATTGTCAGAGTCAGTGACTTCTGGGTGAATTAGTGTCAGAATTGGGTGAGGGTAAATGTCAGGTCAAGGTCAGGTTCATGATGAATGTCAGAATGGTGTCAGGGTGAGAATGTCAGAATGGTGTCAGGGTGAGAGTGAGGGTGAAGGTCAGGTTTAAAGTATGGATAAAATGAGACTAAAGTTCATAGTTAGGATCAGAATCAGAGTCAGAGTAATGATCAAAGTGAATTGCAATATCTTGGTGAGGATGAGGTTAACAATCTGGGTCAGAATTATGTTCATGAACATAGTGATCAGGGTCAGTTAGAGTGTCCATGTGAGGTTTAGTTCGGTTGACAGATTAGGTGAAGTTCACAGTTCAAGTCAGGGTAAAGGTAAGCATGAGTGTAAGGATCACATTATGGTCAGGTTCAGGAACATGGTAAGGGTTAGAAACAAAGTTATTTCTGGAGTAAGAATGATTCAGAGTACGATATCAGGTTCAGTGTCAGGAGAAAGGTCAAAAACAGAGAAGTTTAAGGGTGAAGATTGGTCAGGTTCAGGTTGGGGGCCAAAACAAATTACTGGGTCTTGATGAAGGTAAAGGTCATGCTCAAAGTCAGGTTGAGAGTCACTGTGAGAGTCAGAATGATGGTCAGTGTCAGAGTCAAGATGAGAAGTCAGGAGTATGAGGCAAATACTCAGAGTCACACTCAGGATGAGAGTCAGGGTCAGTTTCAGTATCAGGATCAGGGTGGGTGCCAACCTGGGTCAGGATGAGAAGGGTTAGTGTCAGGGTCAGGCTGATAGTCTGGTTCGGTTCACCATAAGCTTTAGATTCAAGGCTCTTTCAGGGACACAATGGAGGTATGTGTAATGGTCATTGTAGAGTCAGGGTAAGGTGAGGGTCAAGTTTATGGTCATGATGAGGGTCATGGTGAGGTTAGATTCAGGCACAGGATAGAAGGTCAAATTGAATGCTGGTATAGGAATAGCTTCAGGATCAGAATAAGGATGAATTTGAAGGTAAAGGTGAACATACATCAGCGTCACTTTGTCTCTGACAAAGCGTCTAAATGAAAATCAGAATTAGAGTCAGGGTGAATGAGAGTGAGCATCAGGGTAAGGTTTAGGTATAGAATAGAGGTAGTATCAGAATAAGGGAGTAGAAGTCAAGGTGACATTGAGTATATACTTCAGGGTCAGAGTCATGGTAATGATCAGTGTCTAGATTAAACTGAGGGTCAAGGTTAGGATCATGGTGAGGATAAGTATGAAGTCAAGGTCAATGTGAGCATCATTTAAGGATAAGAAAGATACAGAGGTTCACTGTCAGTATGAAATTCAGGGACATGGTGAGGGTCACAAGTAGGATCAGCATCAGAGTGAGATGAGGGTCATAAAAAAGTCACAAGTACAGTCAATGTCAGGCTGAATATCAAGTCAGTGTTATAGTCACAGTCAGTTTGAGGAAGCAGTTCAGGGTCAAGAGGACCAGAGTCACGTAGCGTATGAGGTTAAGGGTCAGAATCTAAGTTACATACAGGATCAGAAAAGAGGGTCAAAGTAAGATTTAAGGTCATGGTGATTCTGTGTATCAGAGTCAAAGTCAACTTCAGAATTAGTGCCTAGGTCAGGATATCAGTCCAGAGTCAGAGTAATCAGAATCAGGGTCAGTAAGAGTTTCAGGTCAAAGACCAAGTTCAGTTTAAATTTTGAGGGGTGGAGAGCATAGAGTTAGTATTGGGATCAAGTCAGAATCAAAGTCAGTTGAAGGTCATCATTAGGGACAGAGTAAAGATGAAGTTCAAGGACAGATGAGGGTCAGCTTCAGAGTCCAATTCAGGGTCAGGATCAAGTTGGTCAGTGATCAGCATGAGGTTCAGTATTAGGATGAGCATGAAAGTCTCAGAGTAAATTTGAATATCTGTATTGGGTTAGATTTAGATCAAATAAAAGTCAGGTGTATGGTGAAATTGAAAAATGGGTCAGGTGTATAGCGAAGTTGAAGATAAGGGTCTAAGACAGGTAAGCTTTAAGGTTGAAGTCAGGGTTTGGGTGAGAGTCAATATAAACATGATTCTTGGTGATAGGATCGAGCAAAGAATGAATGTCATGGTCAGGATCAGTGAGAATAAGGGATATTGTGGAGTTCAGAATCTGTTTCATGTTCATAGTCAGGGTCTTTGTTCAGGTAAAGATAAGGATCAAGTGGAGGGACAGGGTCATTGTCAGGGTGAAAGTCAACATCAGGGAAGTATGATAGTTAAGGTCAGGATCAGGGGGTTGCTGGTGGTAGTGTCAGGATCAGCTTCAGGATCAAAGTCAGTATGTTAGTGTCAGGTTAATGATCAGGGTCAGGGTGAAGGTCAAGTTAAGTGTTGGGTTGAAAATCAGAGTCAGCATGAATGCCAGGGCTTTGGCCAAGTTCAGTATGAGAGTGAAGATAAAGGGTCTTGGCCAGGTTCAGTATGAGAGTGAAGGTAAAGGTCATGGTCAAGGGTCAGTGACATGTTGAGAGTTAGAGTCCTGTCATGGTTAGGGTAAGGTCATAGTAAGAGTCAATTTCAGGGTAAGGATCAAAACAAGATCCAGGTTGAGAGTCAGGGTCAGAATTAGGGTCAAAATTAGGATCAGGTAAAGTTCAGTGTCTAGTTCAGCATCAGGATCAGTGTGAGGGTGAAAACAAAAGAGGTCAGCATGAAGGTTAAGGACATTTGGGAGAATAAGGGTGTCTGTCATTGTCAGGATCAAGGTCAAGTGGGACTGGGTAAGTGTGAGGGTCAGAGTGGAGTTAAAAGTGAGGTTAAAGTTCAGAGTTAGCCCTAGAGTCAAGGCCAAAGTCAGGGTCAAGATAAGAGCAAGGCAATTGCTGTAATATTTCTTTTGTTTACAATCTTACTTCCAGCATTAATTCATCTGTCAAAGCAAAAGAAACATTATTCTTCCTGCTAATTTTGGTTTCTTTTTCTTCAGGAATAGTAATGGATTTGGGGTACTCACTGGCCAAGTAATTTTTATTGTATTCTTATGGACTATCAGATCCTGATGAAAAGTCAAAATACTCCAAATTTTACTCCTTTGTTGATGTACAACCAGATGCTTGCATGATAGGAATGCAAGAACATGCAATGCAGTTTTAACAGGTTTCTGTCCGTAACTAAAAAAAAAAAAAAAAAAAAAAGTACTGCAACTTCTTAATTTCATAGCTATGGAATGACTAGAATAGAATTTAGATGTTGAATTTCCCATTCCACTATAACATACCTGACTGATCATTGATCATCTTCCTTTCAGCATTTGAGAAATGGTTAGCTAGCAATTCTCACGGTGAGATAGTTCCAAATTTATGGAAAAACTATCTTTATTAATTGAGCCAAAGTGGTTTCTGATCATTCTTTTCATGTTCATACAGCAACAGAGTTAATCTAATACTTATTTTCACATGGCTCCTCAGTCTCTCTCCTCAACCCATGTGGAGTAATGCAGGTCTTTCTGCAAAGGTAACGCTATGACTAATGTCCCAATCTGGGCAGGCCCTAGATCCCCATTAACAGACTGAAATTTCCTGAGTGGCACAGTGGGAAGGCCTTGGCATCCACGTGGACCACCAGCCACACCTCAAAGATGCTCACCGCCTGGATTCCCAGGAAGGCTGCAATTCTCTTGATGAGTCCTCTCATCTTGACACTCTAAGTTTGGAAGGATAGGTGGGGGGGGGGCACTGAGAGCTCCCCTTCGACCCTGAGCTAGACTAACGAGGCCCCCAAACCAAAAGTAGATCTGAAACGTAGACTTACTGAAGGTTGGAATGAGCAAACAACCGTCTCAGGACCAAATCTTTCTGGCTAAGGAGAAAACAGGAAATGATAAAGAAAGCTCCCAGCTCCCTCCTGCTAGCACCAGCAGCGCTTGCACCTCGCATCTGATTAGCGCTCCCCGACACTTGGACCTGCGCTTCCTACCCATGCCTCTCACATCTTCCTTCCTCCCCTGTGCACTGGTGCTGTGCACCCGTGAGGCTTTCCGCAGATGTTGCAAAGCTTGCCGGACATTCCTTTTTCTAACACCTTCATTTCATTTTTTAAACACTCATCAGACTGACTGCACCGTGATTACACCCTAAAATGAAGACGTTTGCAATGTTTAGAGGTTGAAGAGAAAAGAGATCTAGTCCTGGGAATGGCAGGAGAAGTTTAGGGCCCAGAGGAGGACAGGAATCTATGCTTCCCAAGCCTAGGATCTGAGGCTGAGGGATTCAGAGTCAAAGGTTTTCCTATCTGAAAAATAAGGGATGTATTGAATGGTTCCAAGATCCTTTCCAACTCTCACAGCGATACTCCAGGGAGGTATTCTGTGGTATAAGAGTTCTGAGATCCTAGAACTTTGTTCAAGCTGGGGCTAAGGGCAAGGAATTGGAAAATTGAGATGAGTGGCCTCTTGATTTCACCTACTGTAGGATGAACAAGACTGGAAGTCTTTCAACAAGAATTTCACAGGGCCACAATTTCTAGAGAGCTTCTTTTTTCTTTTCCTTTTATTTTTTTTATTTTTATGATTCTAACCCCCCAACACTTTCTCTCTGCCTGCCTGGCCTCTCGTTCAGGCTATTCTAGTATTGCCCAGTGGTTACTTAAGGCTGCTAACCTCTGCTCTAAAGGAATTAAATATCCAAGATCATACCTAGGAAATAGAGCTAAAGGAAAAGGAACCAACTGCCTCCACAAGTCAGGGACCAACAACTGAAAAAGAACAGAAGAGACAGGAAGACCAGCAAACCAATTTGGTCTTTATTGAGGTGTCAAGGTAGAGTAACACCATGAAGGAGCAGAGCCTGAGCACTCCAAGAACTCGGAGGCAGGATTTAAGAGTTTCTTAGAGATGCAGGCCTGGGGTTTTGAGCTAAGAGAAAGGCAGTGGGTGATTTAGTTGTTCAAAAGTGCTTCAGGAAAGCTCTATATTTCTCCAGGAAAGGGGCAGACAGAGTATTTAGCTCTTGCTGAAGTTCCTGAAGAGCCTTCTCTTGCTCTTGCTGCTCCCCCACCATCTGCTGCCTGTAATAGTTGATGTAGAAGTTCACCCAGTCATTCACCATAGTCACCATGTCTTCTTCAAGGATAGGAGGATTAGGGAAGACCTGCAGGGAGAGGGGATCGCGAGGGAGAATGTGGTCAGCTGTGTGATTCAAGAATAACCCACAACCTCTGACATTCTCCTTTCTCCGACTTGTATTCCCTGTCTCTAATTGTTGCCATTAACTGCACCATTACGCCCCAGTTCCAAATTATTGTCCCTTTTCTGCCCTCACCCACCTGCCAAGAGTCTAGGCCTATCCTTTGAAACAGTGCCTGGGCTTACCTGCTGATTCAGCAGAACATTAAATTCCTTAATTCCTGTAGAAATGAGATCCTTATTGGCCTGAAGCAAAGCCATCTGCCTACATTAGAGAAAGAGATCAAATTTAAGTATCCTTTTCTTCATTCCTGCATATTTCCCCCAATTCCCTTATTTCCCTTAAATATCTCTGGTGCCTTGTAGGACCACCTCTCCAGCATCTTTCAAATCATATCCTGCTGAGATCACATTTCTCCCAGGTTGGCTCACCTGCAGGTCCAACGGTGTATGTCTCACCCACAGTTTCCAGGGTGTGTTATGTCCCTCTCTGAGCTAAATGTAGGCAGAGTTAAGTGTCAGCATATGAGGGAAACGCCCTACATCTAGGTCCTGAAGGAAGGTGATAGGTCAACCAGGGGTTGGGAACGAGGGAGAGGTTTCCCTGAAGTTAAAAGATAGCAAGGCCATTAAAAACAGATAAGTAGGGAGACCTAGAAAACCAAACCCAGGACAGATCCTTGCCATCTGCCACACATCCCAGTATCCACACTCCAAAACTAAAATTCAGACAAAAAGAATTAGTATCAACTGACTCCCTGTTGGATGACAGATACTTTTTTTTTCATGTCATTTCATTTTAATTCCAATATAGTTAACGTACAGTGTTATAGTACATTCACATGTACAATATAGGGACTCGATAATTCCATACATTACCCAGTGCTTATCATGATGAGTGCCCTCCTTAATCCCCATCCTCTATTTCACCCATCCCCCTACTCACTTCCCCTCTGGTGACCATCCATTTGTTCTCAATAGTTAAGAATCTATTTCTTGGAGGCTCTCTCTCCCTCTCTGTCTCTGTCTCTCTTTCACTTGCTCATTTGTTTTGTTTCCTAAATTCCTCATATGAGTGCAATTATATAGTGTCTATCTTTCTCAGATGGACTTATTTCACTTAGTTCCACTTACATTCTCTAGCTCCATCCATGTCATTGCAAATGGCAAGATTTCATTCTTTTTTTTATGGCTGAATGATACTCCATTGTGTATGTATACCACATCTTTATCTATTCATCTATTGATGGATACTTGGTCTGCTTCCATACATACAATTACCACATGACCCAGCAATTTCACTCCTAGGTATAGTTCATAAGAAATGAACATACACATCTACAAAAACACTTACATGCAGGGATGCCTCGGTGGCTCAGCGGCTGAGTGTCTGCCTTTGGCTCAGGGCATGATACCAGAGTTCCAGGATTGAGTCCTGCATTGGGCTCCCTGCATGGAGCCTGCTTCCCCCTCTGCCTAGGTCTTTGTGTGTCTCCCATGAATAAATAAATACAATTATATATATATTATATATAATTATAATATATGTTATAATTATAATATATATTTTTTATATATATTTCATATATATATATATAAAACCACTTACATGCAAATGTTCACAGCAGCTTTATTCATAATTCCCCAAAATGGGAACAACTTAAATGTCCAATAACCACTGAATAGATACACAGATTGTGGCATATTCATATAATTAAATTATAATTAAATTCATACAATTAATTCAGCAATAAAAAGGAACAGACTAATGGTATTCATGAGAACATGGATGAATCTCAGAATAATTATGTTGAGCAAAAGAAGTTAGACATACAATAAAGAGGAAGAAACAGGGGCATAAGGAAGACATGAAGCAGGGAGGTGGCCGGGGGGATGGGTGAAATAGATGAAGGAGATTAAGAGTATATTTATCCTGATGAGCACTGAGCAATATACAGAATTGTTTTTTTTTAATATACAGAATTGTTGAATCACTATTTTGTACACCTGAAACTAATATTTCATAAAAGATTATATTTATTATTTGAGATAGATAGTGAGAGAGCATAAGTGGGGAGGAGAGGGAGAAGCAGGCTCCCCACTGAACAGGGAGCCCCATGCGGGTCTCGATCCCAGAACCCTGGGACCACGACCTGAGCGGAAGCCAGGTGCACAACCAACTGAGCCACCCAGGCACCCCAACCTGAAACTAATATAACACTACACTGAAATTAACATTTTTAGAAAAAAAAGAAGCCAGACATAAAAGATTATATACAGTATAATTCTAGATCTATGAATTTCTCGAATAAACAAAAACAATCTATAGTGGCAGAAAGCAGAGCAGAACACAAGATTAGAGATTAAAGTGCAAAGCTGCTGCCTAAGGGAAATTTTTTGGACAACAGAACTATATATGTCTTGATTATGATAAGCATTTTCATGCACTGTTAAAGGAGTGTAAATTGGTAAAGCTTTTTGGAGAGATAATTTGACAATACTTGTTCAAATTAAAATACATATATGCTTCAACCCAATGATTCTGCTTTGAACTCCATTTTAAAGAATTATTCATATTCAATGTGCAGAAAGGCCTGTACAAGGAATTTGCCATAATAACATTGAAATTATTTGCAATAATGAAAAGGCAGAAAAACCCAAATGCCTATTAATATAGGGAAATCACTAAAGAAATTATGGCATATTCATACTATGGCATGACATGCAGCTATTAAAATAAATAAGGTAGATATTTATGTGCTGATATGAAAAGATTTCTAAGATAATGTTAAACAAACCGTAGAACAGACTACCCTGGGAGAGTAAGGATTAAACATAAAATTATGTTTCCCTCTCTCCCTTCCTCTCTCTTTCTGTGTGCCCGTGCACACGTGTGTGTGTGTGTGTGTGTGTTTGTCTAGAATAATAAACAATGTTCACTTCTGGGGATTGACTAGTATTTGTTGGGAAATGGAAAAAAAGGAATAAATGTCAAGGAAGAATTTGAACTTATCTATCTATATTATTATTTGAATTATTTTACAGAAAAAATGTATCCTTCTATTATTTGTATAACTCTTACAAAGAACACAAAATTTTATTTTTATTTTTTTAAAGATTTTATTTATTTATTCATGAGATACACAGAGAGGAGAGAGACAGAGAGGGAGAGAGAGAGAGAGAGAGAGAAAGGCAGAGGGAGAAGCAGGCTCCGTGCAGGGAGCCTGACGTGGGACTTGATCCCAGGTCTCCAAGATCAGGCCCTGGACTGAAGGCAGCGCTAAACCGCTGAGCCACCAGGGCTGCCCAACACAAAATTTTAAAGGTAGAAAGAAGATGGTGTAGTTCTAAAATCATTAGCCTCAAATTTGAATCCTGTCCCAGTGCTTAGAAGAGTAGCAGCTGTTCACTAAATATTTGTTGAATGAATAAATAAATGAACGCTTTTGCCACTTTTCAGCTCTGTGACCTTGGTGAAGTCACTTCACATTTATAAAGCTCAGTTTTCTTGTTTGCGAAGAAGCAATAAAATAATAAGGGCTTTCTCAAAAGCCCTTACAAGGGCATTGAGAAAATAAATTCATTCATTCCACAAATTGATATTTGGCACCTACCTTGCACCAGGCACTGGTACAAGGCGCTGGGAATATATTCAGTACCAAAGACAAAGTTCCTGTCCTCCTGGAGTTTGTGTTCTGGTGGGAGGAATGACAGAATGAATGATAAGGGCAACATCTGAGAGATAGGGCAAGACCCAGTCTACAGAGCTTTGTGGGCCATGACAAGAAGTTTGTGTTTCAAGTGTGAAGAAAAACCAGTGAAGGATTTGGAGAGAATATTGCAATCTTCTTCTATAAAAACAATAGGATGCCACTGAAAAGTTTTAAGCAGAGGAGCTTTAAACTTCTTGGAGTGGACTGTAAGAGGGCAAGAGTGGAAGTGTGGGGATCAATGAGAGTAAAGTCAAGGAGATAAGCAGCTTGAAATAGTCTACCCAGTGCTTGGTATACTATCGAATGCAGACTACCAAGAGATTTCATGGGGTCAGAAAAGGGGAACCATCACTCATCTCTTCATCAAGCTACTGATCTGGACACTTCTCAAAGAAGTGTATGATGAGTCCTTGTCCTCGCTTATAGTTCAGTTGAAAAGACAGGACACAAGTATCTAATAAAGGCAAATACAAACTGGCTCCAGAAAGCATGTGGTAAGGGCTAAATAAGTGCTACAGTCAACAAGGGCTGCCATGGTCTCTGAGCAGGAGAAATCAATGTAGACAATGGTGATCAGTAACGCTAAGAGATCCATAATTAGCGTGACAATATATATTGCCCAGAACAGCTCCAGTCTGTTTCCCCAACATAATTATTTGTAGTGCCTCCTTTAATGACACTTTCAAAAATTCTGATTTGGGTAATGAATTATATGGTGATGTTAGTCATGAGGGCCATTTGAACTGCCTCAAATGGAGCAAAAAGCCCCATATTTGAAGACTTGACCTTAACTCCAAATGGTCAACACTTAAATACTGTTTAAGTACTTAAAAACTGTGCCAAACAGCTCTACACATGTGACTCATTTAATCCTCAACTCAAACCTATTGTGGTATTAGTATTATTCCCATCTTACAGATGATGAAACTGAAGAACAGAGAGATAAAAAAACTTGCCCAAGATCTCACAGATAATAAGTGACAGAACCTAGATTCAAACTAAGGCCCTCGGGATCCCTGGGTGGCGCAGCGGTTTGGCGCCTGCCTTTGGCCCAGGGCGCGATCCTGGAGACCCGGGATCGAATCCCACGTCAGGCTCCCGGTACATGGAGCCTGCTTCTCCCTCTGCCTGTGTCTCTGCCTCTCTCTCTCTCTCTCTCTCTCTCTCTCTCTCTCTCTGACTATCATAAATAAATAAAAATTAAAAAAAAAGAAAACTAAGGCCCTCTGGTGGAATTCATTCATAGAGGTTGGCTTCAGAGTTCAATGCACTCACAGGCTAACATTTAAAATATGAAACGTTTGTCAGCATGAAGCTTCCTCCAAAACTTATAAATAGAATTATCCTACACACTACTAAGTATTCACTTAAAGAATACAAAAGTACTAATTCAAAGGGATACATGCATCCCAATGCTTATAGCAGCATTATCTACAATAGCCAAACTATTGGAACAGCCTAAGTGTCCACTGACTGATGAATGGATAAAGAAGATGTGATATGTATACATATACATATATATTTTTTTACACACACACAATAGAATATTACTCAGCCATTAAAAAGAATGAAATCTTGCTATTTGCAGTAATGCAGATGGATCTAGGGTATTAGGCTAAGCAAAATAAATCAGTCAGAGAAAAATAAATACCATATGATTTCACTCATATGCAGAATTTCAGAAAGAAAACAAATGAGCATAGGGAAAAAAATAGGACAGAGAAAGGCAAACCAAGAAACAGACTCTGAACTATGGAAAACAAACTGATGGTTACCAGAGGGGAGGTCAGTGGGGGGATAGTAAAGTAGGTGATGGGGATTAAGCAGTCCACTTGTGGTATTGTATGGAAGTGTTGAATCACTAAATTGTACACCTGAAACTAATATTACCCTTTATGTTAACTAACTGGAATGTAAATAAAAACTTAAATAAATCAATAAAATATTACATGTTTATAACCCTTCAATTTTTCACTCTAACAAAAAAAAAACTTAAAAAAATAATAATGAAGTGCCCCAGGTCTATCTTAGCATCAGAGAAACTCTGTGTAGGTCTCAGATAAGGTGAGGCGGGGTAGAAGAGTGTTCCAGGCTGACACCCAAGAAGAAGGTGACAGTTTGGGAGAATCATGTTTCAACCAGTGAGTCAGACTGTGGGAGTCCAAGAAAGCCAGGCTCAGAAGCCAAGATATTTTATTTTCCGATAAAAAAAACAGGCACTTTTGGCAAATTTCTACATTATACCAGATGGAAGGAGAAAGGGAGAGAGGGAAGGAGAAAAAGAGATGAGCTGGGAGAGAGAGAGAGAGAAACACTGTCTTTAGACCCTTCTCCCAATTTAATGGACCCTTCCCACCAATAAACACACAAGAACTTCTTGCCTATTCCTCAATTTCTGAGACTATTAACTGCAATCCCTTGATTTTCTCATTCCTCAGATGTCCTAAGGATCCTTTCAGAAATAATGCTCTTCCAGGAAAAATAAGATGAACACTGAGAGGGAGGCAAACCATAAGAGACTTTTAACTCTAGGAAGCAAACTGAGGGTTGCTGGAGGTGTGGTGGTGGGGAAGGGATTATTGAGTGATGGGCATTAAGGAGGGCACTGATGTACTGAGCACTGAGTGTTGTATGCAACTGATGAATCACTGAATTCTACCTCTGAAACTAATACAGTGTGTGTTATCTAAATTGAATTTAAATTTAAAAAAAGAAAGAAAGAAAAGAAATTATATTCTTTCAGCCTTGGGTAAAGCATAGGACCTCAGGGATCATTTGCTCCAACTTCTCATCATGCATTAGTTGATATGCTCATTCACTCGTAATATCTTTTTAAATTTTTTTTTATTTTCTTTAAGACTTTATTTATTTATTCATGAGAGATACAGAGAGAGAGAGAGAGGCAGAAACACAGGCAGAGGGAGAAGCAGGCTCCATGCAGGAAGCCGAATGTGGAACTTGATCCTGGGACTCCAGGATCATACCCTGAGCCAAAGAGAGACCGCTGGGCCATTCAGGTGTCCCTGTAATATCTTTTAAATACCTACTATGAAAAAATAAAATAAATAAAATAAAATATAAAATAAAATACAAAATAAAATAAAAATATAAAATAGAATAAAAATATAAAATAGACTACAATATAAAATAAAATATAAAAATAATATAAAATGTAAAATATAAAATAAAATATAAAAATAAAATAAAATAAAATAAAAATAAAAAATAAAATAAAATATAAAAAATAAACACCTACTACGTGTTAGGGACCCAGGATAAAATAAGAAATAATATATAGTCCCTGCTCTCACAACAAAGAAGGCACCTGAGGCCCAGGGAGGGACACTGACTTGCCCCACATCACACGCCTAAGAATCCTGTGGCCGACTGGGTCTCAAACCCAGCGGTTTCCCAGGGATGCCCTCTTCCCTTGTACCCATAGCTCTTCGAAAGTTGCAAGTTAGAGGCACGCAGGCATCTCCAGGACTTGGCGGGCTGAAGGGCTCCCCTTGCTCCTGCGGCCCACCTGCGGAATGCTTCAGAGAACAAAGGCGGGGGGGCAGCCTCGATGAGTCCACAGCTAGGCCAGGAGGTCCCAAGAGGAATCGCAGGTTCCCGGGGCCGCACGGAGGAGGACGCGGGGGGGCGGGGGGGCGGGGGGGCGGCCCCCGGGGGGGGGGGCGGCCCCTTCGCGAAGGAAGATTGCACCTCTGCAGCCGCCGTAGCCACGCCGGAAATGCGGTCCGGCCGCGTTCCGTCCGGCGGGCCCCGGAGAGGAGCGTTCCGTGATGGCTGGCGGTGCAAATCTTGAGGCCCAGCTGTGTTCCGAACAGTTCGGCTCCGGGGCGGCGCGGGGCTGCCTCGCCGCCGCCGACGGCAGCTTGCAGTGGGAGGCTTGGGAGTGGCGCTGGTGGGGGCTCTCTGGGCCGTTCCCAGGGAGAGCCCGAGGACGGGATGGCGGCGGAGGGGGGACCCCCGGGACGGCTTCTCCGCGTCTGTCCGGCCTGTTGGTCGTGTTCCTGCCGCAGGGCTTCCCCGACAGCGTCAGCCCGGACTATCTGCCCTACCAGCTGTGGGATTCCGTGCAGGTCAGCCCGGCCGGCTGGGGGAGGGGGCGGCACCGAGCCAGGGGTGGAGGGGTCCGCGCGGGTCCCTCCATGTAGAGGTTGGAGGCTGAGGCCCAGAGCAGGCGGTGACGTCACACATCTCAGAGCTGCTGGTAGAACTTGGACCTCTGTGCTCCAGCGCGCGCTCCTCACCCCTCCTTTTTTTTTTCTCCTCCAGGCCTTTGCTTCCAGCCTCTCGGGCTCCCTGGCCACGCACGCAGTCTTGCTGGGCATAGGGGTGGGGAACGCAGAAGCTTCTGTTTCAGCTGCCACCGCCACCTGGTTGGTGAAAGGTGAGCTGGGCCCCTGGAACCTCACCTGTGGCAGCTGTCAGCCCTGCCATCTCTTCGGCCTCTCTTTCCTCCAACCCCTCCCTCCTTTTCCCCCCATCCCTAGTGTTCTGGGCTGTGGTGTGTCTATGCATGGGCTCTTTCCTGATTGGATCTGGGAGCCAACTCTCCCCCAGTCCCTAAAACAATCTTTTTATTGGCGTTACTCAACGATTAATTTAGTCGCCCGCCACCCGAACATACTCATCCTGAGGATGAGTTTTGCAGCCACACGCAGTTCTCCATACATACTGTTCCAGATCCCTAAATCATCTGGAGCCCAAGTCCCTAAGTTAATCACCCCCTCTCCTTCACCCCTAGTCTTTGTGGAACACTGCCTAAGATCAGGTTTTTTTTCTTATTTTATTTTCAAAGATTCTATTTATTTATTCATGATAGAGAGAGAGAGAGGCAGAGACACAGGCAGAGGGAGAAGCAGACTCCATGCTGGAAGCCCGACGCAGGACTTGATCCGGGGACCCCAGGAACGCGCCCTGGACCAAAAGGCAGGCGCCCAAACCACCGAGCCACCCAGGGATCCCCTAAGAGCAGGGTTATTGAATAAAAGCACCACCGGCTGCCTGATGTGTGGGAAATTGATCAATTCTAGGGGAAGAAAAAAAAAAAACAAAAAACAATTTTGTATTTAGTCCTGAGTAGGAAAGAGGAGGTTCTGGGAAAGACAACGGCATTTTAGAGCATCTGGGATACTAGATGATGCTGTAAATAATGACTATAGTAACCGCCTATTGGGTATGTACAGCCTTTTGAAAAACCACTAAAATAAAACATGGTTTGGTAACTATGCGACCTGAAGAGCGAAGTAGGGAAGAAAAGGGAAACTGACTCCCGTATCCTACTCTTAACCGCCACACTCCTGCCAGTGGGATTTAGAGTGGAGCCTAGTACAATTTCTGGACAGCCAGCCAATCTCTTCTCAGAAGTTTCTAGATCATATAGTTCAGCTAATTGTAAGTGCAAGTGGGAATTAAGTTTCCTAGCCTAGTGGACAGTGTTGACTTTCAGATACAGGGAGGATATGTGTCATTGCATCCAAGTGCCACCTTCCAGATTCTGACAAGCATCTGCAGACTGCTGATGAAAGATAGAGTAGGTTCCCTTCCTACCCAGTGGCCCCTGTATGCAGGACATACACCTTATTGGATAGGAGTATTGGGTCAGAGGGAAGAAAGAGTCTGGCCCAGTGAGCTCTCCACAAGTAAAAGTAATCTTGGCATGTTCAGAGTCACTGAGTTGATCCAATACAAGAATCTGAAGTGGAACAATAAACATTATGTGGAGAATAAAATATAGTTGAAAGAAAGAATGTAAAGTTGGGTGATGGAGGAAGCCTATAAGGCCACCTTGGTGGCTTCCTAGGACATACAGGGGACGGAAGTGAGAAGCAGAGCAGGCTGGATGAGAAATGTGTTGTACACATGCCTCCTCTGACGTAGCCACTGCTCAGCCCCAGCCAGTTGTGATAAGGAAAGCAGGCTTGGTGTTGCCATGTTTGGTTTTTCCAGAAAAGCTGGAAATCCCGATTTTCTCTTAAAATGTCCCATTTTTGTTGACCCGTCTTTGAGCTTTGTTGTTTCATCTGTGAAAAGAAGTGATCTCAAATTCATAGGGTTGTTGTGAAGATGGGAAGGAATAGGAATTTCAGGTTTTACCAGCGTGTTTACTGGTGTTCCTCAGTCCCAGGATTGCGTAAAAGTGTGCAGTTGAAAGGCCTCACTCCCCAGGGATTGAATTTGCTTGCGGCAAGGGGTGAGTTCATCTCTTTCCAGTGGACAATGGGGAAGGCCAACTTGCCACCCCTATACATTGTAGGAAACACCCAATCCTCCCCATAGTCTAGTTTCCCTTCTTCATTCACTTAAGGGTCCATGCCTTCAAGTTCAAACAAGTTAGGAGTCGCCTGCCCACTGTATCTTTCCTTTCCAGTGTCCACTATAGAAGGCCTTCCCAGTTGTTTGGTTCTAAAACCGTCTTTTGTGATTTCCTTGCTGTACTTAAGGAATGCTACTCTCAGTATAAGGGGTTTAAATCAGAGGGTGGCAAACCTTCTCTAAAGGACCAGGTGGTAAATATTTTATACTTTGCAGGCAATATAGTTTCAGCCATAGCAACTGATTCTGCCATCGTGTTACAAAAACAGCCAGAGAACGTCTGTAAATGAATGGGCACAGCTATATTCTGATAAAACTTTATAAAACAGGGAGTAGAAGATTATAGATCACAGTTAACCAATCCTTGGTATAAATCGGTGTTTTTCATACTGATTGCTATCTGCTTTTTATCTTTTTTACCATGACTTCTTGGGTATCCCCTTACCTCACTGGTTAGTGCCTGGCACGAAGTAAGTAGCCAGTAAGCATTTGTGCAAATGAAGGTCTAGCTGATTCTGGAGACTTTTCTGACTCTCTTTAACCTGAGGAGTCCTCTCCCTCTGACCCACATCCCCAGGTCTCTGTCATCAACCTGCAGTTCAAATCCCTTAAAATGTATACTCTACTGGCCACCCGTGAGCTAGAATATCTGCAGTAACCTTGGAATTTCCTGCTTTTCCTTGTAATAGTTTTGCTATATATATTATATATATATATAAAATATATATATAACTTAAACACTATGTTTAGATTTAGAGCTTTATGAAAAGTATATTTTGCCATGTTGTCGTCCTAGCTTATTTTTTCATGCAATATTATGATACTAGGATTCATCCATTTTTGATATGAGTGTTTGTACATTAGATTTTTGCTGCTGCCTGATATGTCACTGAGTGAATGAATTCTTGATACCAAGAATCAGTGCATTCTCCTGGTGATGAGCATTTGCATTATTCCAGTTTTTTTGCTATTGATGAACAATGCTGCAAAGAGTATTTCTGGTCCTTGTCTCTTGGCACATATGGGTACATAGTTCTGTTGGGTATGTACTGAGGTACTGCTAAGTCTTGACCCTTCTGACCGCATCATACAGCTCTGTCTACCCAATATTTATTGTGCCAAACTGAGTTCCTAGGAGCAGTGATCCAAGGTGAATCGGCCTTTTCAGTGCCAGGGTCTGTCAGGCCCAGTAGCCCCCAAGACTCTCCCTTGTTCCTTACCAGTGCCTCTCTCCCCAGATTCAACTGGCATGCTGGGCCGCATCATCTTTGCCTGGTGGAAGGGGTGAGTTTGTCTTCCTGGTCTGGCCACTCTCTCCAGACAGGGGTCATTTCTGTCTCATCCCTGGCTATATTTTTTAGCTCTTCCTCTCTTACCAGGCTCCTGAGGAAGGGAGATTCAGCAATTACTTCATCAGAGCTGAGGAGTCCTTAGTAAGTACCCAGTCCAGGTGGCTCACCGTAGCAATGAAGCCACAGAGGTATTGTTATCACACCTGCCTTTAAGAGCACTGATTTACCACGCTGCTGTCCATGATGGAAAAATACAGCCATAAGGCTCTAAGTGTCCTCTGTTGAAAGAGAAGCCTGAACAGGACAATGTTTAATTCAAAAGCAATGATTTTACTCCAGAAGTTACTTTGGTGGTTCAGGTACTTGACTAGACTTTGCTGAGCCTACGAGGGAGTGGACTTGGGCAGGTCATCAGGATCCCTGTTCCACATGGAATCAGCATTACCATTTATCTAGAAGGAATTTAGGATCTTGTGCTGCCTGCTTCCTCCTCATGTCAGTTTTGGGCAACCTCGGGAGTGATTTAGTATCTGCAATTAATTGTAGGCAGACATTACCTACAATGTGCTCAGTAAGATAGTTACGCAAAGCACATAGCATATTGTGACACATAATAAGTGCTCAGAAAACACTAGCTGCTGTTAACAGCTCTGTGCCTCACAAGCTCTCTACATATCATCCCTATCCTTAGAACAACTTTGTAGAGAAGGATTGAATGTGTACATGTTAGCAGACCTAAAAAGGGAAGTTACCCAAGTCACACAGCTTGTAACTAATAGTGTCAGGCTGCTGCTCTGCCCTAGACCAGTTCCATGTGTTCTGGTCCTGCCTTTGCTATTCATTCCTTCAGGAGTTCCTCAGGTGTGTCCTATACCCCACCTAGGAATGCTCCGTTTTCCTTTCAGGAGATTTCATAATAAGGGACAGGGCTAATGCTGCAAATTCTGAGCTGGGGTCTGGAGCTATGGCATCTCCTGCCATTGGACTCTTATAGAAGAGGTCCCCAGGTGTGCTTGGGTCAGGGAGTCCCTATGACTGGCAGAAGAGGCATCTATCCTCTTGGTGATAGAAATATCCTAGGACTGGATGTCAGAGCCTGCCTCTTTCTCTTGGCCTTTTTTTTTTTTTTTTTTTCTCTTGGCTCCTGTTTTCCATGTGATCTGAGGGAAGTCATATCTCCTCTCTGGGCTACTTACCTGTAACCTGCAGGGGTTACACTAAATGTAGTTGTTTACTGGTCCAAAATATGTGGACTTCTTGCTGAGTACTCTTGATCAAGCAGGAGGAAGAGGTGGGGAGATGACAGAGGGACCCAGGGATGCCTCCCTCAGAGGAGGGCCAGAGGGTGGGGAGCAACCACAAGGCAATCAGTTCTTTCCTCTGATGCATCATGAATCAGTAAACGGGAAACACTAAGTGACTACTGAAGGTCCTCCCAGCTAATTGTATTTTAGGCAGCAGTGACACGGTATTGGGACACATGTCTGCCTGGGGTATGGATTTTGCTGAGCCCTTCAGACCTTACCTCAGCTTAAGGATGGCCTGCACTCTCCACATGATGTGTTTTCTCCTGAAATTCATATTGCAAACCGATCTCTCCCCTACAACAGGAGTAAGCTGGACTGCAATGCCAAGCAGTGGAGGTAAGGAGGGGCTGAGACAGAGGGGAGGAAAGTCTTGTGTTATGAAGGTCTCTTACCTCTGATCTCTAACCTCTGATCCCTTCTCCTAGGCTTTTTGCTGACATCCTCAATGATGTGGCCATGTTCCTTGAGATCATGGCTCCCATATATCCAATCTTTTTCACTATGACTGTCTGTATCAGCAACCTGGCCAAGGTATCCACCTCTGGGGGACCCCTATACCTATCTTGGTGATGCTGTTGGGGGTGGGGGCTTACTTGAGGCCCACAGGTGAGACCAGCCTGGGCTCTGTGTTCAAAGCACTTGCAGAAAGGTGACAAAGTTCAGATGTTCCTACTCAAACTCAGTCATACTTTCTGATTCTCCTCCAACTAGATGGCTTCTCATACTTCAGATAGTCTAAGGTAGTGTCTGAAGCCACAGAATTGGTGAGGAGCCCTGGGCTGAAAGAAGGGGGGTTTAAATGTCAACATCTTGGGACCAGCTCCCTGGCTATCTTTCATTCTTTCAGTAAAATATTTATTGAGTGTCTACTGCATGTTTGGCATAAAATATTGGCCTTCCCATTTTTTCTTTGAAGAAAACTGCACACAATTAGACAATTTTTTTTTTTTTTTTTTTTTTTTTTTTTGTATTTCTGGTATTCGAGATGAGAAGTGTAGAGGGCTGCAAGAGGGTTGAGCAGAGATTCTGGCCTAGTCAAGGGATAGGCCCCTTCCCGAGGCCTGAGTCCTGAAGAATGAGTTTAAGGTGAAGGGTGGATGTTTTTGAGCAGAAAGAACCGTATGGGTCAAGGTCCAGCAGCAAGATAGCACAAAGTGGTTGTAAGGCTGAAGGGTCACATGGGATGAATGCAAGCTCTACCTCTCTGCCAGGCTGCCCACCCTCAAAATTCCTTCAGGTTGGCTGCATCCAGGTGAGGAAACTGAGGCATAGCAAAGTTCAGTAAAGAGCTTAGCCTGTCTTCACCACAAGATTAAGTACCTTGCACAGAACTGACTCAAGAAGACATGTAACATCTGTCTCCAGAGCCCATCACTTTAGAGCAGTGCTTCTCCACAGGGCACTAGTGACATTTCAGATAAAACAGTTCTTGTGGCGGATTACATTTAGCCCAGGTACCAGACCCTGGCCCAGGCATACTGCCCTGAGCATCTTCAACTCCAGGGCAGGAAACACTATAGAAAACCAGTGCTGCAATGATTGTGACCTCTGCTATCTGTTTCAAATTATGCAATATACTCTGCCTTTTGGGCTGCAGTCTCTACATCTGTCCAATAAAGGAGTAGAATAGGACCATGAACTTTCCCTGGCTCCCTCCCACCCTCTCTAGAGTTCTAGTTTCAGTGACTAGTACCTCTGTACCCCAGGTACACCAGTCAGAAGCCTGGCTGTCATCCATGCCTTCTTGCCTTCTCCTCCCTGCCCACTGTTCTCAACTAAACCTCCATCTGGTGCTTCATCCCTTCAGCTAGTTGCTGAAAAAGCATGGTTGCTTCCTGGGTAGTCTCCCTGCTTCCATTCTCACCTCTCTTCATTACTTCTCAGAGCAGGCCATAATCCTTTTAAGAATGGAAATCAAACCAGGGACCTTCCCTGCCCTCATTGCTCTTAGAATAAAGACCTTAACAAGGTTTGCAAGATTCAGCATGATCTAGTCACTCGAGCCTCATTTTATACCACATTCCTCTCACCTTTGAACAAATTATTTCTTCTCCCTGCATGACACTTCTTTATTGTCTCTCGATTTATAGATTTCATGAGGGCAAATGTTATATCTGAGTTATATCACAGCACTAATCTGTGTCTAGCATCTAAAAGAGATTTGATAAATATGAGATGGAGGACAGTGATCAGGGACCCTCACTGATAAGTTCTCCCATTGTAGATCTCAGGTCCAGGTGCCCTGGGAGATCAGGGCCATCACTGGGTTTTGAAGTGCCCAGAAGACTTGACTGGGCCTCCCCTGGGACAGATAAGGAGTGGAGTTAGTTACAGGCAGAATGGAAGCATAAAGTTGGAAACCAGACTGGGCCTGGGAGCTTAGCAAAGGGGTGGGTACAGCCAAAGTAGAAGTTGGAGACTAGAGAAGTTCTGGGCAAAGAAAAGTCTTTGGGCCTCCACCTTGGGGACAGAAATAGAGTTCCTTGAGACCAGGCCACAGAGACATGTGACAGGCAGAGCTTTAGTCCTCTCCAGGAATAAGAGGGGAGATGAACCTAATGGAAATGTAGGGATGAGAACAGAACACCAAGGATAGCATTTAGGGTTCTGCTGTTTAGTCCCATGATGCCCGGTTTTCTCAAATTGGTTTGAGTCATTTACTTGGCTCAGCCACAAAAATGCCTATGTTGCCACAGCACATGGCCATTCTGACCTTTATTCTCCTTTTCCCCAACTAGTGCATCGTGAGCGTGGCTGGTGGGGCCACTCGGGCGGCCCTGACCATGCACCAGGCCAGGAGAAACAACATGGCTGATGTGTCAGCCAAGGATAGCAGCCAGGTAAGCAGCTGGAATTGGTGTTGGGGGGAGTCAGAGCAGGGAGGCAAGCCAGGCCATGATTTGGAAGTATGGAGAGAAGTGCCTGAGTGGTCCTGAGGGTAGGGGTGGGAGGCAGACACACAGGAAGAGATATAGTGCCCCCTGCTTTGAACTCACACAGGTAGTCAGGTTCAGGGCATGAGTTCAAGTGGCAGAAAGTCCAGGCTGATTATGTCAAGTCCCTTCCCGTGCCTGTGTGGCCAAGAGTGGGCCCTTGCCCTGGCCTTTACTCTCTCTGGTCCATAGCTCCAACCTGAGAAGTGGATGTCTGACCATGTGAGGCCCATTTGTTAAAGCATTTGGCAAATCAGAAGGTGCTCAGCATGCAAGGTGGCTGGAGTCATTGGCCAGAGGTCTCCACTTGACAGTTTCATAGGCCTTTCTGACCCAGCCCCTCACCTGACCTGGGCATCCTGGAGTAAAGGCAGGGACCCCCACACATACACAGTTAAACTCTATAGGTACTGGATCCCCCCCAAGCTCCCGTGCTAGGTGCCTATGTGTGTTGCGTTGTTCAACTCTCACACCAGCCCCAGGAAAGAGATGCTATTAATTATCCATGTTTTAGGGCAGCCCCGGTGGCGCAGCGGTTTGGCGCCGCCTGCAGCCCAGGGCGTGACCCTGGAGACCCTGGATCGAGTCCCGCGTCAGGCTCTCTGCATGGAGCCTGCTTCTCCCTCTGCCTGTGTCTCTGCCTCTCTCTCTCTCTGCATCTCTATGAATAAATAAATAAAATCTTTAAAAAAAATTATCCATGTTTTACAGAAGAAATTTGAGGCCCAGGCTAGTCAGAAGTACTACATCCTTTTCTTTTCTTTTTTTTTTAATATTTTATTTATTTATTAATGAGAGACACAGGCAGAGACACAGACAGAGGGAGAAGCAGGCTCCCTGATGTGGGACTCAATCCCGGACCCCGGGATCATGACCTGAACCAAAGGCAGACGCTCAACCCCTGAGCTACCCGGGCGCCCCATTACATCGTTTTCTTTGACACTGAAGCAACTTAGAAACCTTTGTTCTGTCCAGTCCTACTTTCTGTCATTCTCTTGAATTGTTTTGCTCAGTTTCTAAATAGAACTTTTTTTAAAATTTAAAATGAACTCCTTTCAATAATATTAATACAAGCTCAAAAATAGATCTGTTAAAGCTAATATTTATTAAGCACTCACTGTGTGCCAAGTGTTTCATTTGTGTGAATTCATTAAATCCTTACAGTGGTCTCCTATGGGAGGTACTCACTGTTGCCATTCTACAGATGGGGAAATAAGTCAGAGGTTCAATCCCACTGGGTACCTGTAGGCACATCCCTTCTCTCAGGAAGTGGTTGGATTAATTCTTCCCCCGTTATCGCTTCCATAGGTTGTTAGGAAGGCAGAAATAAGTCCCATCCGGAACTCACACTTTAGGATCTCAGCTTCATGCCTGCTACCTCTCACCTCTTCACTTCTTAACCCCCAGCCTTCTGCACACGCTCCAGGCTGTATTTTCCAAGCCGCAGGGTGTCCTTAGTCTGCAGAGTCAGGAACACATCACAAGAGACAGTACAGGACATGTGCTCAGTCCCATGGCAGGCTCCTGCTTTCTGCTGATACTGTTTTATTGCCACTCAGTGTGGCTGCTGAAAATGATTCTTCCCACCTGAGGGAGAGGAGGTCCTTCTACTCCTGTGCACCCAAGGCCTCTGCCCTCCTCTTTACCATCACACCCATAGCTTCCACACCCTACCTCCTTGCCAGAAGAGCTGAGTAAGGAGCTCTTCCAGCCTCAGGCCCACTTTGTGCGAGGACCACCTCTCCCTTGGACCCCAGTAGTCCAGGCACCAATCCAGACTCTTCCTCCTTCATGATGAGTTGGGGACAGGTAGCCTGGTGTCTGTTCCCTTTGGGTGAGTTCAGGCCATCGGAGGGTTATGATACAACATCGATTGTCAGGGGAAGATATTTGGACCTTGTGCCTTTTTTCCTGAATGGTTCCTTGAACCCTTTGCAAATGTGTCTGCCAGTTTTTGCATCCCAGGGGGCTTAGGGGGTCAGTCTTTTGAAACCACCAAATATGAGAACTTCCCCATTCTGAGGACATTCATGTGCCTGAGTGTAGGGCTGCTCAGAGGACTCTTACAAAGTAAGAAGACATGTTCCAAGGGCATTGTATCTACCTGGACAGAGAGGCAGCTGGTATCTTAAATGACATCTCGTTCGTTAGAAACTCACTAGGCATCCACCTCAGTGTGGGAAGCCCTGGGAGGAACTGGGACAGAGGGGAATGTGTCAAAGGCACTCACAGATAATCAGCCTGGCCTGGAAGGAAGCTCTCCTAACTCCCATGCCTTCTGCCATTTCCTAGGAGACACTGGTAAACCTGGCAGGGCTCCTGGTCAGCCTCTTGATGCTTCCCCTGGTGTCAGCTTGCCCGAGGTAAGCGGGACCAAGGGCAGGGAGGAGGTGCCCCACTGGGCCTCCACCCCCACTCACACCCTCACTCTCCAATACCAGCTTCAGCCTCAGCTGTTTCTTCTTCCTCACCGCCCTTCACATCTACGCCAACTACCGGGCAGTCCGAGCCCTTGTCCTAGAGACTTTGAATGAAGACCGGCTCCGGCTGGTTCTGAAGCACTTCCTCCAGAGGGGAGAGGTTCTTGACCCCACTTCAGCTAATCAGATGGAGCCACTGTGGACAGGTGACCCAACCCCTTGGTCTCAGGTCCTGTGTCTCCCAAGTCTCTCCCCCTGTCTGGGCATCCTGACTCCAGCTTCCCACAGGTTTTTGGCCATCTCTGTCTCTATCCCTGGGGGTCCCCCTACACCGCTTAATCTCCAGGTAAGTAACCCAGTGTCTCCCAGCCACCGCTGCTGCCACCTCTGTTCCCCACACATCCTCTATTCTGTTTACAACTGGCCTCCCCTGCCTGGGAGGCCTCTCAGTTCTAGGTTCTTGATTTCCACTAAACAGACTTGGGTCCGCTTGGGTCAGCACGGGTGCCCAAGGGCAACAGAGGTGTAACACAGAGTAGATCTAAGGGATACATTTGTTAGCTGCAGAAAGAAGAGCAGGACAGATGTGGGGTGCATGGGAATGGCTGAGAGAGGAGATGTAGGTGAAGGACAGTTGAAATACCGACAGTTCAGCTGATGGACTGGTTCTTCCTGCTTTGCTTTCTCCTCCCCCACTCCACTCTTTTCCCTTCAGTGTCTTCGAGCTGCAGCAGCTGGTTGAAGGACACCAAGAACCCTACCTCCTTCACTGGGACAAATCAAAAAGTAAGTAAGCCTTCGACTCAGCCTTCTGGGGTCACCCTCTCATTCCACCAGCTCTAAGGCCTCAAGCCCTGGACAGTTTAGAAGCTGCCTAGTGTCCTGGAAGGAGCTTCAGACTCAGACATGGTGCATTCAAATTATAGCTGCATGCCCCCAAAGTTGTTTACTTTGTCCCTGTGTAAAATGAGGGTAACGATACCTGCCTTACTGCCTGCATGTTATTATGAGAATCAAATAAGGTGATTGCGTAAAGCACTTTATATATTGAAACGTACTCAAATAAGATTATGACCTTTGGTTACCCCTGGAGAACTCTTCTCTCCCATCCAGAGTCACCTGTTGAGGAAACAAGTACTAGAGTTTTCTGGTCTGCTGGTTATGTGCTAAAAGGTGCTTATTCTTACTAGACCTGTAAGATAAACCCACTTTGGTGGGTTCCAAATACAAATATAAAGTTGTGGGATCCCTGGGTGGCGCAGCGGTTTGGCGCCTGCCTTTGGCCCAGGGCGCGATCCTGAAGACTGGGGATCGAATCCCACGTCGGGCTCCCGGTGCATAGAGCCTGCTTCTCCCTCTGCCTGTCTCTCTCTCTCTCTCTCTCTCTGTGACTATCATAAATAAATAAAAATTAAAAATATATATATAAAGTTGTATTTGGAAATTGGGCATTTCAGTTTGGCCAGAACATTGGGACAACAGGACATGAAGTTGGAAGGGAAAGGGTGAAAAATCGCCTCCATCCATGCCCGTGGCCTCAGGATGAAAAGGGTGAAGCAGGGATGGTAGGTTTGAGGGTGTTTGGGGAAGTGGCCCTTCCCTAGTACGGTCTGTCCCTGGGTTTCTCCAGGCCAAGTGCAAGTCGTTTTGAGCCAGAAGGCAGGCCCTGAAACCATCCTAAGGGCTGCCACACACGGCCTGGTACTTGAAGCCCTGCAGAGAGATGGGCCCCTCCCAAGAGAGCTGGAGGAACTGAGGAACCGAGTACTGGCAGGTGAGCATCTCACAGTCCACACCGCTGACGCCTAAAGAGGGGCAGAGAGAGGAAGGATTCTGTTCCACTTGGGGACCTGACAGCTTCTGGTTCTGCACCTACCTCCAGGTCCTGACAAAGAGAGCTGGGTCATCATCAAGGAGACACACCAAGTGTTGGACAAGCTCTTCCCAAAGTTCTTGAAAGGTAACATCCTTAAACTCCACGCCTCCCTGGCCTCTGAGGCCTTCTCCCCAGAGGCCCTGCCTAACCCCACCCTTCTACCTTTGAAGCGTCTCTCTGTGATCTGAATTCTGGACCTCAGTTTCCCTGTCTGCAGGATGGGGAGGTTAGGAGGGTCCCTGAGGCTGTGTCATTGTTTATAATTTGTATAATTCCAGTTGGCATTGAAGAACTGGGGGTAGAGGCATGGCTCACAGACGACTGGATGATCTTTCATTTAGCACCTACTCCATTCCAGCTCCTTTCCATGTGCTAACTCAGGGAATTCTCACTATAGCCAGATGAGGTTTTAGCCTCATTTTGTGCCAGAAATGACCCAGCAGAAGCAAGAGGAGCCTGGGCAGTGCACAAAGCATGCACCCGGCCTATGCTCCTTACCACTCTCCCCAGACTCCCTAGAGTCTTCTCTCCAGCAGTCCCAGTGGCACCCTTCTGACCTCTCCCCAGGACTGCAGGATGCAGGCTGGAAGACTGAGAAGCACCAGCTAGAGGTGGATGAGTGGAGGGCCACTTGGCTTCCGTCTCCAGAAAAGAAGATCTTGTGAGCAGCCCAGATAGAGGACAGGAACCCGAAGCAAGCACACTTTGGCCACAGCAGAATGTGGGAAGAGAAGCTTTTATTTTTGCTTAGGGGAACTGCAATGGCAGTTTGGCCAAGGCCTCATGGGCTGTAACTGCCAGTCAGATGGACAAGGCCCCAGGCAGAGACAAGGTAGAGAGAAGGGGAACCAGGGCCTACCTCCTCCCTCTCCTGCCTTACTCCCTTTTCACCACTGCAGGCCCTGCCCCCAGCTCCCCTTCCCCATTCATCTTGAGGCTGAGCCCTGCCCTGACTGTGGCTCATGGTGTCCAACGCAGTTGGCCTCAGGCATAGAAGCCCCAGAAGAAAGTGGCCACAGCCATCATTAGCAGAGCATTGATGTTGACCACACGGGCCCAGCTCGAGTCCTCACTGATGTCCTCCAGCCGCCTGGCTGCCGCAGCCATCTCCTCCTGAGTAGGGGCTGGGGGACTACCGGCCCCACCCCCACTCATTCCACAGAACCAGAGCAGGCACCTGCGGAGCAGGCCAGGTGCTGGGGGCTGGGGCTCTAGGAAAAATGGACCACAGACAGTTAGTTTGAGGGAACTTGGCTCCCCTAGTCCCTGGCCCCACCTCCTGAAGTAGTGCCTTACCCTCCATCTCCACCGCATGCTCCGGACACCCATTCTGTATGGGGGGTGAGGTTGGACCTTCCAGCTCATCAGCATCCAGGTCCTCTCGCTCCTCCTTGCTGTGCCGTAGACTGAAAACCAGGCGGTGGAGCTGGGGGAGGGGACAGGGACCAAGTGAGAGTGCTGCTCCCCGAGCGGGCACCCTGAAGTACTTCATCCATCTGGTACTCCTAAGCTCCCTCTGCCCACCCTATGCTCTTGGTTCAGACTCCGTTCACTCAAACCTGACCTTCCATGGCAGCCCTTTGCCCTCAGACTAAACCTAAGTTCTTTAACTGTGTGTTTAAAGCTCTTGGCCCTGGTCACCCCCAGCCAGGGATGAAACTTGGGGTTTCATCACCCCAAGTCCCTGTCTACACTCAAGTTGTGGTCCTTTAGACTCTAGTCTTCTAGTCCTGCTAACAGTGTTCCTTCCTGTGGATATTTGTTCACATAGTTCCTCCTGCCTTTCCCTCCTTCTCCACCTGTGCAGTCCTGCCCATTCTTCTATCCTGCCCATCCTTCTACCCAGCTCTTCGGTCCTGGTCCCCAGTCAGCCCTGTCCTGGGGCACCTCCCCTGCAGCAGCACAAACCCAGACCCTTTTGTGGGCCTTTGAGATAGCATTCTGTCCCTCTCAGCCACCCGGCCTATGTACTGGATCCTGTGTTTTGAGTCCCACAGGCCATTCCAAGGACTTTGGGGAGGCCTTTACATCCCCCAGACCACCTCAAATAAATGTCATTTAAATAAGACATTGTGCTTGCTTTGCAAATGCACCTTCCAGCCGGACTCCCAGGCATTCCCAGAAGTGGGCCGGCAGATTGAGGGTGGAGATGGCTGTGTTAACACCCATGGCGCATGCTGGGCGCCTGCTCAGAGGCCGGCACTTACATGCTTGCGTGGGATGGGTGCCGTGCACAGTGAGATGACAAGGGTGAGGAGGCCAGAGCAGACGAAGAGCACGATGGCAAAGTAGAGGTAATGCATGCCGCAGAGGAGTGCTGGGCACACTGAGGGTTGCACACAGCTGCCCGAGCCATAGGAGAACTCAGGAATAAGGCGCGCTAGACCCATAAGCAGGCCCCCAATCAGTCCCCAGAAGGCACCCTGCCAGGGGGGGAGAGTGTCAGCCTCTCGTGGGTGTTGGAGCTCTGCCCCAAGCTCATGACCTACACACTCACCTTCTCGTTGACACGGGGCACAAAGAGCGCCAGCACGAAGACAGCAGACACAGGTGGCGCCAGATAGCTGGAGACTGCCTGTATGTAGTCAAAGAGCTGCCCGCCCTGCGCTGCCTGCACGATGGGTAGCCAGGCCACGGACACAGCCACGATGAACACCACCCAGAGCCTGCAGTTAGTGGCCATCAGGAGATTTCACCCAGGATTACTCATTTCCCCCCTAATCCTACGAGTGCTCCCTGTCCCCACCCCGGGGCTGATTGGTGGGGCAGGACCTGGGGGAAACCCAGGCCGCACCGTCCTACTAGCAGCAGCTCCCGGTCGCCTGCACAGGGCCGCAGGCGTGTGTAGATGTCCATAGTGAAAAGTGTGCTACTGCTGTTAAAGATGGAAGCCAGTGAGGACATGAGCGCCGCCAGCATGACTGCCAGCATGAGTCCGCGCAGACCTGCAGGTGGTTGGGAGCTGTGAGTCTTCGGCCACCAGGGTGTCACCGAGAGGATGCGACTTGGTGAGGGGTGACTTCTCCCAGTTGCAAGCTCCACACCTTGCCAACCCTTACCATTGGGCATGAGCTTCACAACAAGCCGCGGGTAGGCAATGTTGGAGCAGCCCACTTCGGTACCGCACACTCGCTTACACACCTCAGGCACCACGCACGCCACCTCGTCTGCAGGAAAGAGGGCACGATGTGGCTAGGATGGGACCTGGTCTGGGAACTCAGATCCCTGAAGTGGGGACAAGGAATCCTAGTGGAAGAAAGATGGGACTGCCGATTGGGGGGCGGAGGGAGGTGGTAGGACTGGGTTACTGGATTTACAAATCAAGGGACAGTAGCAAAGATGGGAACTGGGCACCTGTGATCATGCACAAGAAAGGGACTGGATGGGGCACAGGACTTTTGGTGGGGGCCAGGTTGCGGATGTTACCTGGATAAAGAATGCGGCTGATCATGCCTGGCATGACCATGAGGAACATAGGCATCAGCTTCAAGTAGCCACACAGTATGCAGCCTGCCTTGATGTGGGTCAGGTTCTTCCCGGCCAGACAGCGCTGCACGATGACCTGTGGCGAGGGCCATTAGGCTACCTGCATCCAGTCTTGGACACCTCACCCCTTCAGGCCTTGCTTCAACTCACTGCTCTAATTCAGGGCTGCCTCTGGCTCGGCGGTGCTGGCAATTCACCTCCACTCAGACCCAGATTTTTTGGATTCGGCTGGGTCTGGCTTAGCTCCATCCTGATCAGGTTCCTGAGCCCTCCGGTGGCGCCACCAGATGGGTTCCTGTCCCACCCATGTCAGCTCCGCCCACAGCAGTTCTGGTTCTCCCCCAGCTTCCCTCCAGGCACTAGCCCTGACTCCGCACCTGGTCGCTGCACCAGTACCAGCCTGAGACAATGGTGAGACCCAGGAGCAGCGCGGGCCATGGCAGGTCCCCCGTCACAGGGTCCCGGAGCAGGTGGTAGGAGTCCGGCCGAGGTCGATAGCAAGAACTCGAGATGTTTCCCACCGCCGGATCCTCAGAAACCGTCAGCGACGTCATTGCCCCCAAGTATTTGTCGAAAAGCCCTGAATACCCTCCCACTTCGTGGAAGGCTGTGAGGGCAAGGTTGTCAGGGGACCCGGCACCAGCGCCAAGACGGTCCCTAGGACCCACATGCTGGAGATGCAGGATGTCTCTGCCCCCCCACTGAGGGCTCTGTGACTCAACCTCCGTGCCCCTCCCCCGCCGGCTGAGCTCCCTACCGTAACCCATGAGGATGAAGGCCCCCCCAAGAATGACAAAGGTCTGCACGGTATCTGTGTACATCAGCGCTGCCAGCCCTCCTGCAACAGGCCTGGGTCAGTGGAAACAGCCCAAACAGGATGCCCGGAGCCCATACGGTGTCTGTGCGAATTCGAAAAATGTGCCCCTTCCTGGAGAGCAAATTTCAAAGAAATGGCCCATTCTCCAGGCTCATGTACCTGGGCGTCAGCAGACAGGACTCAGTGAGCAGAATGTGCCTCAGTGACACTCCCAGCACATCTCTCAAGCCCACTCCATCCCGAAGCCCCTGCCACAGCCACCTGTCACAGTGTAGATCATGGTGATGCCCAGAAGGGCGATGACGGAGGCATAGATGTTCCAGCCCAGAGCCTGTTGAATGAATACTGCGCCAGAGAACATGTCCACCTTGGGGGAAAGGAGCGATTGCACAGGTCAGGACCAGGGGGGACCTGGGCAGGGACCCAGAACTACCTCATGCCCAGACTAACACCCCAGGTGGCCACGCTTCAAAGGTTCTCTTATTTTTCAGTGGTCTGGCCTTCCCAGGTCCCACCCATTGTGGTCGCAGCCCCAAAACCTATTCCTTCCAGACCCTGCCTCAACTATGGTTCTTACGAGCGATTTCTTCTTGGGTCTGCCCCCTCCGAGGTTTTCTAGAAGCCTCCATTCCATGGTCCCGCCCTCCCAGGGCCCCGCCTCGCCCTCCATGAATGCGCACCGAAATCTTGGTGAAGATGTACAGAAAAAGCGAGAGCACTGACAAGTAGAGGCGGATACGGTGGCCTCCGAAGCGCTTGCGCAGGTATTGCGGCATGGTAATGACGCCCGCCGTCAGGTACACCGGCGCGAAGAGCCAGCCCAGCAACAGCACCACGAACAGCGCCTGCAGGCACAGCTACCAGCCGGTGACTAAGACCCTGCCAGGAGGGCGCCCTCATCCCTCAAGAGTCTGAGACCTCTTGCTGAACGTGCTATACCAAGGAAAGGTCGCACTAGGAGCCCAGAGGATGTCCCTGAGCCCTGGATATTAAAGGACAGGATCTTTGACACCAACATGGGCCCTTAACTAGAGCCCTCCTGGTCCTCCCAGGCCATGACCCCTGGCCAGTCCCTCCCAAGATTGCCCCTATCCTCCCACCCGCCAGCACATGAATCCAACCACAGACCCTCAGGCTGACCACAGCCTCTGCCAGGAAGGGCTGCCTCACCTCTCCTCTTCACCCACCCAAACCTTCTGCCCTCGAGACTCGGCTCAGAGACCTCCTCCTCCAGGAAGTCCCGATCTTAGCCCTCAAAGACAAGCCTCAGTCCCAGAGCTTTGTCTCCTTCCCGCTTCTGCAAGCGGCCTTAATTTGGTCCAGAGATCCTCATAGGCCACAGCTTCATAGAGCATCTGAACAAGCACTTCACTATCTTTGAGGATGTTCACCCCACTTCAGAGAGGAGTAAATCAAGGCCACAGAGTAGTGGCTGGTCCAGGCTTACACAGCAAGTCAGGAGTAGGCCCTGAAAGTGGTCATCTCCAACATCTTCCTGCCTCCAAGCTGGACGCGTGACCCTCGAAGCCCAACCACACCTCCACAATGGGTAAGTCCCACCTCCAGTCTTATGTACCCCCAGCTTGGAGCCTCCCAGGTGTGATAGTTCCAGGGGTTCCCACTGGGATGGAGGTTATTGGCAAAAAGGGCATCTCACATTCCACTCAAATCCAGCCACAGCCAAGCCGCTTGCAGCACCAGTCCCTGCCAGGCCCACAAAGTGGCCACTGCCGATGTTGCTGGCAAAGAGAGAGGCCCCGACCTAGATAGCCAGAGGTGGGGGTGAGCTAGGCTGCTTCTCTGGGCCTCCTCCCACTCAACAGCACAGCCTCTCTCACCGGCCACCACACCATGCTTCGTCCTGCCAGGAAGTAGCCGCCAACGGTGCCTCTGTTGGTTCTGCACATGGACTGAGAGACAGGAGTGGGGGGAGACTTGGGTTCGGAGCACATCTTTGGACCTCATTAGCCTTCTCAACACATTCTTCAGCCTTGTTTTAGGCTGAAGATTAACCAACCCTGGGCTCTCTCGATGGTTCCCACCCAACCCCCTGCCCCAACCTCCTCCAAGGCACCTAGCGCAACCCAGGACCTGACCTAGTGCCCAACTACCCAAGCTTGAGTGTGGCTGGATTCAGCCTGACTTTTCCTGGGGCCTTGGATATGGATGGGCTTCTGGTCAGATACTTTGTAGATAGGGGAACAGAGATCTCATTTAGAACACTGTCCAGAATGAAAATCCACTATTCCCTTCAACGGACCCCAATCCAAAGGAGGGAGGACAAGGAATGCCTGTTGGCTGGGCCTCCCTGAGGCTGTCAGAAGACTTGCTTGCCCCCACCCCCAGCTTTCCTCCTCAAAAATCCAGGCATCCTTCCCCTACTGAACATGGGATCTTCCTCAGACTTTTCCCCCAGGCCCGAAGAGCCTGGCCCCCAGCAGCACCCCAACTTCTCACCCACAAGCCGACACCAATGACCAGCAGGAAATAAGCAGCAATGACCAGGATGTCAGCAGAGTTGTTAATTAGGACCTTCTGGTTTCCCGGGCCTGGTACAGAGCCTGCCTCTGTGTGTTCCTCCATTCTGCCTAAGGTTTGTCCCTCAAGGGACTAGCCCCTGGATTTCCTCAGGGGAGGGATTAATGGTTACCTCAGGGGCAGTGAGCCGACAAGTCCCCCAGGTCATGTCCCCCCTCCCCAGCTTTGTTTAGCTGAATCAGGTCTCATCAAGGCCGAACACTTGTCCTGTGGAGCAAGAGCTTTCAAGTTCAGGAGCACTCCTTCTTGGGCCTTGGCCCCCACTCCCTCCCCAGTGCCCCAGGCTCAAAATTATTCCTTTTACCCATGCTGACCCCTTCAGCCTTGACCTAGGGAACTGTGCCTGAGCCAGCCTCTTGGTTCTGACTAATCCAGAGGGGTCATTTTCAAACCCCACTCTGACGGTGTCACTCCCCTGTTCAGAAACCCTTCTAGCTCTCCATCATCCTAAAAGAAGTGGGAGCTCCTCAGCCTCATGTTCAAAGCCTGCCATACTCTGACTCCTCCCCACCCTTCCCCTTTGCTCCTCCACAGAAAACCTAGAGTGAGATTGTGTTTCCCTCCAACTCCCTTGCCCTGCCCAGCCCATGTATTTTCACACGCATAAGCTTTGGCATAAACTGTGCCTTCTGCTTAGAGTGCCTCCTCGCCTCCCAAGTGGCTCACTCCTACCTCTCAGATGGTAACCTTCAGTACCCAACCCATGTCAACGCTTCAGCGGCTTCTCTGACTTTTCTATACAGTTCTGAGCACATTGTGTTGTACTCGTCTGGGCCCAGGTCTGCCTTCCTAACAGACTAGAGATTACCCACGAGCAGAAAATGATCTGACTCATCCCTGGAGTCCCAGCACTCAGCAGAGGGCTGAACAGAAGAAGGGAGGGTATTAATAAACATCAATACCTCTGCCTTCCGAGAAGAACTGATCAGACTTGGATGAAGGATTATGACAAATTGGGTTCAAAAAAGCCAAAAAAGGGGCATGTTGATTAAAAGGTTGCCACTGTGAACAATCCCAATGGGGACTTTTTGAGACACTGGAGAACACACCTCAGAATTGACCCCTCATGGCCAGAAAGCTGGAGTATTTATTCACCAATTTGTCCCTAAAGTTATAGAACCTCCCCACCCCTCCCTTCAGGTCTGCTGGGTGCAGGTCTGCTTGTCTTCCCAGAGAGCACCTTCAGACAGAAACTCAGGGAGCAGCTGGGGAAACTGGGTGTCTGGGAACTGTCTACATATGACTTCTCAGGTGGGCCAAGTGGATAAGGGCAGTGCACCCACAGCGTCTGCTTCAGGGTTGATGAATTTGACGTGCCTGAGAGAAATCCAGGACCAAGTGTCAGAGGACAGACACACTGGGGTTATAAAGCCCTTAAAATCCATATGCCCTCTGTGTGGCCTACAAGGCCCTTCATGATGTGGCACCTATTTCGTCTTTGATTTCATCTTCTACTCTCCCCTTTCCTCATCCTAATCCAGCCCTTCTTTCCTTTCATTCAATATGCCAAGCTCCTTCCTACCTCCTGGCTTGCTGTTTCCTCTCCCGGAATGCTCTCTTCAGGCTCTTTGCCTGGCTGTCTTTCCTCAGACTTCCAAGTCTCAACTTAGATGTTACATATTCACAGAGACCATCTGGTCAAACTAATCCCTTCCTCACTTTCTCTTAGTTCTCTATTTTTTTTCCCCCTCTACACCTCCCCTCATTTCCTTTCTCTCATTCTTTCCTTCATTACCAAACATTCACTGAGCACCTATCACATGCTAGATAGCATTCTAGTCACTGGAGAGACAACGGTCAGCAAAACAAACATATAATCTCATAGACAGGTTCTCAGGAGCTTGCATTCCAGTTTCGGAAGCAGACATAAACAAGCAACAAATAAACACCTATTTGCAATAGAGGTAAGTAAGTGCTAGGAGGGACTAGGGAGGTGCAATCGATGGAAACAAGGGGGAAGAGGGAACTTTACTTAGGCCATCAGGAAAGTCTCCATTAGTTCATCACACATGTCACTTGGTTCTTGTCATCTATCTTCTCGACTAGACTTCAGCTCCATGAGGTCGAGAAGCAGGTCTGCTTGGTTCCCTATGGTCTCCCCAGCTCCTGATACCAAGTCTGGCACAGTACATACTCCCTAAAACACTTGGTGAAATTAATGAATCGAGAATACAGATGGCCATTTGGGGCATTTTCAAGACAGGAAGGTGGTTACAAGCCAAGAAATAGAATTCCCCAGGGAGAATATGTGGGAGGAGAAGAGCAGGAAGCCTGGGAAGACTTAGGAGAGGAGCCTCAGAGAGGAAATGGGGGCAGGCCGTGGCAAGGACAAAGAACACTTCACCTTTGTCTTACCCCTACATGTTCTCCTTGGCTACTAGCTCTGCCATAAGCAGGAAGGGCTTCTGAGAATCCATCATTTCCAGCCTCAAAGTCTCCTATAGTTTGCACCCAGGAATCTAAGCCCCCTCCCTAGGGAACTACAGGGCTCAAAGAGAAGGTTCAGAGGCTCAGATGTGCTGGAGTTTGGAGATTCAGATGGAGCCTAAACTCCACACCTAAAAATCCCTGGCCCCACCCATTTCTGCTGGGGGTTACGTCAGGTGTCACCTCCTCCAGGAAGACTGCCTTGACTCCCAATCTGAGAAGCCTCCTTCTGACTCTTACAGCCCCTAGTGCATCCTTCCATCACTGCTCTGACTACCTCAAGTGTCATCCTCTGCCTAGGGGAGATGTTATGAGTCAATACAAATAAGAGGGAAGCTGTGCCTTAGTGCCCAGATCCAGAGTGGGCATAAATTGGCACTTCTGGATGGAGTCCCATCTCTGAGAGTCTTCTCAGGAGAGAAAACTCTGAAAATCAGACAAGGTGACAAGGGTGGGAGGGTGTGGGACATGGGGGTAGAGACAGATTAAGTGCCTATTTTGAGGATACAGGTTGCCGAAGAAATGGGGAACGAGAGTGGGAAGTTTCCAAGGGGCCCAGCCTGACCTCCCGTTCTGGCTCCCCACTGGCTGTTCAATCCTGCGCAGGCTCATTTGATATGTGAAGAGCAGCCTGCAAATGCGGAGGCTGCAGGTGGCACAGCGGCCGCAGGCAGGGGCCTAGAACCTGCTGCAGCCAGAGGCAGCACAAGAGGCCGGGCCTCACCGCACAAGGCTTTCCCGCGCACTCAGAGACACCGCACCAGCATGATGTGGCATGTGATTTTATGTAGGTAGAAAAAAAAGTGCACAGAATAGTGAGGGAGCAGGGAGCAGCTCTGTCCGGGCGGTCCTCTGGTTAGTCGGAGTGCAAGGGCCCTCCTCCGGCCGGGGCTCCCCAAGGGTGGGAATAAAGTGAAGACCTCAGGCAGGGGTGCTCCACAGCGGAGGAGTCACGCAGGAGGCCTTGAAATCGGCCAGACCTTTTCTGAATTTGGCCATGGAGAATTTAAGAGTACCTTAGGGGTGGGTCTCTCCGGTGGTTGAGGCTTCACCGGGTGGGCTGAGGAGAGACCCCCAAGCTCCAGGAGCAAGGCCTTGGGGTGTCTGGGGGAAGGGCGGGGTCCCTGGGGCCTTGGTCTCCCGCAGGGGCCAGCCCCGCAGGTGCTCAGCCGAAGAGCTTGACAAAGCAGGGCTGGCAGTAGGGCTTGCCCGCGCGCTCCTGGAAGGAGCCCTTGGTGAGCGGGCGCAGGCAAAAGGTGCAGGTGAAGTGGTCCGGGTGGAAGCGGCGGCCCAGGGCGGACACGCAACGGCCGGTCACCGGGAGGCCACACGTGGCGCACAACGACCCGCGCCGCGCGTGGAAATGGTTCTCGCACAGCGGGCGGCCCTCGTGCTCGAAGAAGCTGCCTCCCGAGAAGGGCGCGAAGCATTCCTGCGGAAGGGCGAAGGGCAGCCGCGGAAGCGCAGGTCAGCAACCCCCCCCCCCCAAGTAACTAGCTTCAGCAGGAGTGCGTTAACCCAACGTGGGAACCCCACTGCCCCGCAGCCGCCCCCCAGACGTGAGCACCTGACCCGAATGCCTGAATATCCCCCCCACCTCCAGGCTCCTAGCCGGGCTGCCCGTCCTCCCGGTTCCCCTGCCCCCCGCCATGAGCTCCCGCAGCAGCGCACCCTGCACACGAAGCAGTCTGGGTGCCAGAGCGCGCTGAGTGCCGAGATGTAGTTGTCCAGGATGGGGCCTTGGCAGCCCTGGCAGCGCGGGGCGAAGAGCTGCAGGAAGTCCCGGCGGCAGTAGGGGCGGCCCTCGCGCTCGTGGAAACCTAGGGGCCGACCGAGCCAAGGAAAGAGATGCGGGCTGCACCCCGACTCGCAAGATCCGAGCCTGGGGGCCAGAGGCGGGGCCCTCAGAGCGAGCAGTAGAGCGGGAGGGATGGGTAGAGGGAAGTGGCCCAGTGGGAGGGGATAGGACGGAGCCAGGTGTGGGAGAGCCTGGGGCCAGGAGACGTGGGAGGTCGTAATAGGCTGGACCAAAGTGATAGAGGCGGATGTTGAGCAGATGGGTATCTTTCAAGGCTGGAGCCAGGTTCTCACCCTCGTCTCCGAAGGGCTCCCCACAACTGACGCAGCAGAAGTGCTCCGGGTGCCAGTGGGTGCCCAAGGCAGTAACCATCTTCTGCAGGAAATGAATGAGGACACTCAGTGTGGCCCTCCATCCCTTCTTCCCTCCCTCCCCCATCCTGAACCTCCGCATGCCAGTTTAAGTGGGAGTTTGAAGCACTAGAGACCTAACAAGGAACTTGGAAGTCAGAGTGGGCAGGGTCTAGGACGTGGGTAGGCGGGAGCTGTGGGAGCTGTGGGAGCTGTGGGAGCTGTGGGATCTGTGGGAGGAGAAGGGCTCACGTGTCGGATGGGTTGATTGCAGAGGCCGCATCGTGGGGAGAAGCGTTCAAAGTAGCATTCAGGGCAGAAGGGAGCTCCATCCTTCTCAAAGAAGCTGCTGCCTCCCAGGGCCATGGAACAGCCACCGCAAATGAAATGTTCCGGGTGCCAAGCACGGCCCAGCGCGGTCACCACCTGCAGGTTGGGGACAAGGCCTGGGTCAGAGTGGTCCTCAGGTTGCCATGTGCCCAGTG